ACACGCCCACCGCACCTACACGTCCCTCATGTCGAAGGCGTCCCTGCCTGCTTTCCGTTTCAGCACTGGTCGCACCTACAATGCAACACAGTTGGTGAGGGTCGCAGGTAAAATCCCGGAATGAAGTCAAACCCCGACCATGATCTTCCCACCCGGCCATGTGCCACCAAGCTTCCAAAGTCCACACATAATCCGAGACCCCCCACGACCCGGATTTTCCCGCCAGGTCGGCGGTACTGAGGGCGTTGCCCTGGCCAGGAAGCAGGATAGCGCGCGCTATGCCTGAGCATCACCGGCGGATTGCATCCGCCCAGACAGGTTTTCGGCCAACAGATCATCCGAGCCCCCGCCCCCCAAACACCCCGCGCGGCCCGCATTTTCCCGCCAGGTCGGCGGTACTGAGGGCGTTGCCCTGGCCAGAAAGCAGGATAGCGCGCTATGCTCGAGAGATCAATACCGGGCGGATTGTATCCGCCGCATGTGCTTTCGCCTAACAGATCATCCGCTGAGGTCTCTACACCTCGCAAGGGTTCGTGCATTTTCTCACAGCTGCGGCATTTTGTATGCTGCCTCGCTAGCAGATAGCGTTGGGCTATGTTTCAGATTACCGGCGGATTAACCGCCGCTGGGTTAACAGATTATCCGAGTCTCTAACACCCTGGCTACGTTCGATTTTTTCCCGGGCTGGGGGTCGGCGGCATCGGCTGTTGCCCCGCCAGTGCTGTGATAGCGCCGGTATGCTCGGTAGACCGGGCGGATTGCATCCGGCCACAGACAGGTTTTCGGCCAACAGAACATCCGAGCCCCCCAACACCCCGCGCGGCCCGGAATTTCCCGCCAGGTCGGCGGTACTGAGGGCGTTGCCCTGGCTTCTGGTTCTGCCGCCCGTGCGCGCGCCGCGCGGTATGCCTTACCTCTTGGCCCGGCAGGTGCTGGGTCCATGGCGTGGCTGGTGGGGCGGCAAGGGTTGGAGACTGCGGCAGCACCAGAAGAGCGACCAAATAAGGTCCGCGGTATGTGGACGCTGGCTGAGCCACGCTGGCAATCAACCCGATCCGCAGATTCGGAAATCAGTATTTACTGCCTGTCATCCGCTGATTCGTCACACACGTCCGCTGCCATCCGCTAAATTAGCGGATGGGGTGCGCGGCTTCCGGTCCGCTGGAAAATATCCGTTAACGCCCAAGCGGAATCCGCAGAGTCCGCTGACTGGCACCAGCCGTCCGCTGCCATCCGTGCCACGTCAGCAAGAGAGAGAGCGGGGTCCGCTAAATTAACGGATATTTAACGGACGGCACCCTCGTCCGTTATTAACGGATCCGGGTGGCCACCTCTAGTACGATGGCGACCTATCAAGCCAATGATAGATATGTCGCACTACAATGCAAGTGCACTATATACGGCACGTATCAACATGCCTGCCAATAGTTTTTGTATGCTCCCTAGATATGTCACATTCCAACAGTGCAACCCACTGGCCTTTCAATGACCCAACACGTACTCCAAATCTCTCCAAACTATTCCCATCCAAAGTGGCTGCAAATTGGAGCCCAATGACCATCACACAAACCCCAGTTCTGCAACCAATAGGGCAATGCAATTGTCAATCAACTATGGCTTAAGGATATGGTCCAATTCCCCAACGTCCCTCAAAAAGCCTACAACATTAATCAACCCGTCGGCCAGCTCCCTGTCAGACAACAAATTTTCTTTAGTATTGCATCAAACTCCTTAAGCTCTCATAATGGCATGTTTTTTCAATTTCAAGGCAATACCATTGGACGACCCCCAACCGGCCCGGAACCATCTTCTGAGGATCACAACATCCCCACACGATGGAATTACCATCCTAAACTATTGTGCACCTATGTCCTAGACTAGGACATGTTGCCAGACTAGGACATGTTGCCAATGCCATTCTATCCATCCAAAACGCCATTAATCACAGCGCATGATGCATCGCAGCTTGAACCAGTGAAAAATGGTTGTCATGCTGCATACAAACTCAGTCAATCTCCTAATTCTTACCACAATCAAATTGTCCGTATTGGTCAATGTTATGGCAACTATTTCAGCTTTCACTTTTATAAATTCTAGTACAAATTGTCTCCCAGACTGTTGCATAATCCTGTCCCAGAAGTGTTGCATTTTCTCAAAATTTGGCAGCACTTCCCCCTTTTTTCTTACTTTTCATATTCCAGTGTCACTCACAATGTTCTAATCTATCTTCTATCCATACCAGCTGCATTCTGGGAAATTTTCTGCAGCGTTTCCCCTATGTTTTTGTCTTTTCATCACCACACCTGTCCTATATATCTATAGTGCTGCTTTAGGACCGTTTTTACATGGTCCTCGAGGCTGGAAAATGCCTCCTTAAAGTATGAGCAGCATTTCTGTGTGGCTTTTGAGTGTTTTTCACTATCTCCATTTTCACCCTTTCCCTTTTGATGCCCAAAAAGGGGCTGGTCATGCTCGCTTACTACTAACCAGTATTGCGCAGATACTTCAACCTGCTTTTTTTTCTGCACCGCTGAGCGGCTGTCCATGTCGAGCTGACTGGTCTACGGTGTAATGACACCCAGCCAGTCGCCTTTTGTCGGTGATGAGCCCGTCATTGGGTGACGTGGCCCAATGACTAATGGCGAATTTAACAATTGAGCGACGTACAACCATTGTCGAATAGTTCACCAGCCGCACAACTGTCGCTATAAATGTCAATATGGCTATCTAGCTAGCTGTCGTACTATGGCTGCCCAGCTCCCTTTATTTCCAACGTTTCTGATGCTAGACGGGCCCGGTATATAATAGGCAACAGCTGTCCCGTTTGCAATGCATTGCCCTTATCCACAAGCACTTCAAAACACCTGTCCAACAAAACACACCACCAGGCCCTGAAATCAGCAACAAAAATGACCTTAGGACTGAAGGCCCTCCAGGGCAATCTGTTGCTGCGTTTCTGCCCTATTCAAGACATCGTCCAAACGGCGAACAGAAATTTGCTCATCTTTGTTCGTTTCGCACCACCATGGGTGGGGCATTGGATCTGCAGGCAAAGGGCTATAGTGAGGCTTTGGCCTTCTCAGCATTTGCGTGAAGTCGGGTGGTGATCTCGGAACCTGAGCTGATGCTGTCATCGCTGAAGCACTGCATTGAATAAATAGAATCCAAAGGTGAGGTATGGATATCATCGAAATTCTTCAAGTTTTGCAGTAAAGTTTGGAAAGTGTCAGCAAGCCACGCAGGATACAAAGTGAAATTTCGCCATCAATAAAATTCTCATATTTCCACAAGTGTCAGTGAGCTGTTGGGCCCATTGGCTCCCATGTTTTATTGGTAGATAAAACTGTGGGGTTGTCCGCTTTTTGCTCAAGTGCCTGGGCAACTTATGTGTACATATTCGGAGTCCATGTCCAAGATTCCATGTCTATAGAAGCGAGTTCACAGGAAATTGCTATATTCCAACGACAGGGATGAAATGTTAGGCAGGGCCACAGACTTCAGTAAACAAGCTCTGACGGCCACAGTTAAAAAAAATCAAACCAATCTCCTGCGCAGCATCTAAACTCAAGGTTTGCAGAGAGTGACACTTGAATGCTATGTGGCTGCACATTAGCGGCATTCCGAGGTTGCATAATTTTGCAGCCATGTTTTCAACAAAGGGATGTGAACAAGCAACACCAGCAACCCCCTTAATGGTGAGTGATAGGAGCAAGGGGTGGAGCAGACTCCACTGCTGTGGGAGAAGGACATTAACTTGCTGTTCAGCAGACTGCAGGTGATACAAGATGGCCCTGTGAACAGACAGCAAAGCAAAACACGACCAAGCAACAGATATCAGGAGTGCCACAAGCAGGTGGAGGTGTTGTGCTCCTGAAAATTGAGGAGCGCGGCTAAGAGTAGATCTCTGCAAGAGCAAATACCAGGTGCAACAGTCAGGACCATCTCCAGCTCCATCATGGTGCATGGATGAAAGTGCCATAAGGAGCCACAGCAGCACAAGCACTGAGCTGTGGAAAATGAGCAGAAAGGACACAGGGACTGGCTGTCTGCAATCCAAAGTTCAATACTTTGGGACCACAGTTCCAAAAAGGGTGTCGAACTCTTCAACAGAAGACCAGAGGTCGATCGCATTGCCATAGTGAAAACACATGACACAAGGTACACTCATATTCCTCTTGGAGCACGGAAACATGTCATAAGATCTCTGCACTCTATTGCTGCATGCTTCCGATAGGTCTTAGAGCTGCAAATCACAATGGTTCCAACTCGACAATCAGTGCCCATCTCAACCATTCGGTCGGGGGTTCCCCAGGCACTGCACAAAGATGAGCTGAGCAAGAAAAGAAACAGCAATAATATGTGAACTTGACACACACGGTACATTAGATGACGCACCTCTCCAAAATCCAGCTTGCGCACTGGGCCCGGCGAACTTGTATTGTTCACTGGAGGTTTGCGTGGTGAAGCCTCAAACCCAAAGGGCATTGGCGTTCTACAAGACCAGCCATTGGTAGTGGCTCTGCTTTCAAAGTCTGTAGTCCAGGGGCTGAATGCCCTCAGGCCATCATTTTGTCTTCCATACTTGCCCTTGGCTTGACGTTCATCAGTTGCACCCTTGACTATGTGCTGCAGGTTCACATGGCAGCCATCGCCTTCAGCAGGGTGGGCAAGCCCAGCCTCAGCTCCTGCGATCGCCAGCAATGGATCCTGGAGAGCAGCACCACCTGGAACATCTGCTGCTGCAGATTGGGCACGTGCAGCAGTTCCGCTACTCGTCTGTGGCAGCCTCGCTATGGCTGGGTTGCTGGATTTACCGTCTGAAAGGACCTGCCCATCAGTAGAGTGCCCCAGGCTCCCCAGCGACTCTTGCGTGGTCAATTGTATTGGGGACAACGGCCAGGGAACTTGCATGCCACCAGCAGCGGCATCCCCCTTTGGTTCACGATGGTGTGTTTTCCCCTCACATTGCATATCGGGGTTCCTGCTTGCTTTTCTGTTCTGGTTGTTGGCCCATGCACTGTACGCAGAACCTTTTGTCATCAGGGCAACGAATGGGATCTCCTCCCTGGCTATGTGGTGCTCGCTGGTGCCCAAGTATGAGTCTGGAAACAATGACTCTGCACAGACTGCTGCCTCTGTCATAAGCTTTGCAGCGCCTGGAATGCCTAGCAATGCTCCTTGGCCCCCAAAACTGATTGTTGGAGCCACATCTGGGCCTGCAGAGGAATGTCCATAGCAGAGGGGACCCCTTCCTGTCTCTGGTTCACGATGCCATTTTTCTTGGTCACCATAAAGAAGTGGTGCTGGCATGATCCTCACCCTGGCCCCCTCTGGTGCTTCACTCACCCTGTGAGCTTCCTCACCATAGCTGTGACAACTGAGCCAGGCTTCACCTCCAGAATCAAATTCAGCAATCGTCCGTATGTGATTCACGGGAGCAGTCAGGCAGTCTGGGTGCAGCTGGCTGTTTGCCGCTGTGTGGGACAGGCTAGAGGAGGAAGGCCCTCCGTTACAACAGCGCCCCAGGGACTCATGGGTGGTCAACTGCATTGGGGACGTCTGTGTTGGCGGAGGACTGGTGGCATTCTTCAGCTCACCAACTTTGGGTTCGCTGCTTGCATCCTGGGCTCCAATGGTGTCTATCTGTTCGTAATTCAAGCCACTCACCAGGCATTTTTCCCTTTGGACCTTGCCCACACACATCACTGCTGGCATCACTCCCCCCCTGGCTCCTTCTGGCTTGTGACTATTTCTGACAGGAGCTGTGACCTGGATTCCTTGTCCAGCTGCGGACAAGAGCTCAGTCCGGCTTGTGCTGACCTCGAAATCAGCATGCACAGCACCACACAACTGTAGCGCACTGCCCCCCATGATAAACCCTTCATGCTGGCCTGTGTCTCCAGCCATTGGATCCCACCCCTGACCATTCAGCTTATGACTTCCTTCCCCTTGTGCAGTGGCTGCACTGATCAACTCCGCACTCTCAACAGCCTTCTTGTGCACAGGAAGGTCACAGTGAGCTTTCTGTCCCTCCTGGGAGGATGTTGGCTTACCAAGTCTTGTTTTGAATCTGGGGTGAGTTGCATTAGCACCTGATTGCCTGTCCACAGAATGGCTGTCTGCACCCTGATCAGCAGATCTTTTCACTCCACGTTTCTTGGAAACTGTTAACTGACTTTGAACAGGCCCTGTGCACCAATTCTCCACTGGAGGCATGTTTTCCTGCGGATTGGGGGTCCCAAGTTCGCCATCCTCAAAGGCTGCAATGCTGCAGTTGCCATCCCTTGACGAGACTGCCAGATACTGCCCATCTGGCGACCAAGCTAGGTCAGTGATTTCAGCATGGTGAATGGAATCCAGCACGCACACTGGTTCTGCTTCCTGCAATAACGGGGTTTAAAACTTGGTAACTTCATCAATGTCATGCACCAAACAACTTAGCCACATGAGTTCAATAAGGAAGATAAAAAGGGTTCCCTTTCATGAGCAAAATACTCAAAGCTCTTGACATATGACAAGCGATGATGCACAAATCGTTGAGTGCAACAGGAAGGGAAGCAACAATGGACAGCACAGACCATTTTGGCAGAATAAACCAGGTGCAATGAGAAAAAAAATAGATCTCTGATGGGGCCTGTTGGTGTGCATACCTCTGTGCTATAAATTGCCACGCTATGCTCTGCAGCAGCAGCAAAGACGAGCTTGTAGGGTTGCGCAAAACCACAAGGAAATGCTCTGTCCTGGCTCTGTTTGCTGCCCTCATTTCGCTTGAAGAAAATGGGGCAGAACCGTATGGCTGAAAAAGGTTCCTGCAGGCCCAGCAGTTGGCCAGCAGGCATCGACCTTGCATACAGAAACGATTGCAAAAATTAAAGGATTACTTTACGTGCATATGTGCTGGATGTAAACAATTGCTGCAGATGGAGACTTTGCCACTGTATATGGCATAATGCAAGGCAAGACAACAGTGGCAGCAGTCTTGGAAACAAGTCACCAGCAGATGGCTGCAACAATGTTTACAATTGGTCCAGGTCAGAGGTGAGCGGTTGGCATAAAATTTCTCACCATTTTCCACGCCCATATATGTAAGCTGTATGCATGGTCCTGGAGGATTCATTGTGCACACCAGCAGGGAGCACCAAAAAGGAACCTGTGGCAAACAACACATGGACACTTCAAACAGAAGTCGATGTTTCCTTCAACAGTTGCCAGTTACCAAAGCAAAGGAGGGCTGCCAAATGCCCCACACAGCAAATCTGATGCACATCAGTTAGAATGATTTTTCAATCAGCGTCCACTCTATAAACTTCCTCTCCTGACCAAAGATGTCAACATTGAATTGGAAAGAGCATGTCATGTTGTCTTTTGCTGTCAAGCTGTAAGCTGGCCAAACTGCCCTGGCGACAAACCTAGCCAACATACCTTCTGGTGACCATGCTAGCCGCCTGAACAAGCTGGGCAGTGTGTCATCGTGAAACAGGAATGTGTTACATGCCTGCCCATCCTCATTGTTCATGCCTGCACAGCTGACGGTTTTCAGAAGATACAACTAAACAATATTCAAAAGGGGCAGAGCTTTTCAAAACTTCAGCAAAGGCACAACTAAATAATTTTCAAAATATTGCCCACAGGTTGTCCTATTGTGGCCCTGTTTCTTGTGTGCGATGGGTGTAAATTATGCAATTTCCCGATGTACAGCAGGATGTAACCTAATAGAACATGTATCCCAGTCACATTCGCCAAAGGGTATGTTGAGTTGACCTGAATCTAGGCCTTGCGTTTACCCCATTCGTCATCCAAACCTTCAGGGAAAAATGTACGAACAAAGAGGAGAAATTTTGAGCATAGAACTCATTGCTAAATATCGCTGAATGCAATTACGCAGTTGATGTCACAAGCTGCAAACATCGTGCCCTGAGGCAGGAACATTCAATATATACCCTGCATGCCATCAGCTTGTCATATTCATCAGTCATGCACACCCTCCCTTGCCAGGGTGGAAAATTCATTTGCTCTGTTTCTGCCCTATTTCCATCTCCTTTTCCATCTCTGTTGGCAACCTTCTTTTATGTGTTGCAACCCGTTTCTCAAGAAATCCTGTTGTGTGACCTGTTTTTTAATGCCTGTTTTCTGGGGGGTATTTACGGCTAGTTTGACATTCTTAGGTTTAAGTTCTGAAATTCCATGAGGGATTTTTATTATTGGCTTTTCATGGTCAATACAAAATAAGTTATAAATGCACATCTGCAGGCTTTTCTGAAATATGGGCAGTGAATTTCAGAAGGCTATGCCATAAATGCTGCCAAGAAGGGCATAAGTGCAAAACAAAAGCACTGCGGATATGCATGGATAAGAGTTATGAATGCCCAGAAACGGGCAGCAGTCACACATTCCACTCTATTTTCTGCACGAGTTAATGTCCTTCCACCTGCAGATGGTCTTTTGTATAGCAGCCTCTCTTGCATCCAGTGCCCTGCCGTCTTTGCTGCCGATGCCTTGGTCTGCTTCAACAATGGCGGCCTTCCATACACACGGCAAGTGCGATCTCCACTCTGGGATACCAGGAACTGGTTGGCAGGGTCCCACGCCACTCCTTGGATATAATGCTTGTGTCCATCGAGTCTAGCCTGTTCATATTCATATGAAATAGCAGTGAAGCAGGTTATCATGGAATGACCTGGAGTTGTGGCAAGGAAGGCTGCATGCTTTAATCGCAAGTGTGGCTGTGACTGCCAGGTGTACAGCACCACAGTTAACTAAATTCACCAAAGAATCAGCTGGTGAACTATAGGAGGTGCGCAGTGCAAGATTATCATTGGGGAATTTTTCAGCAGCAGCCCATTTTCTGCTAACCATGTGCAGGCAGCAAGCCCAGGTCTTTGAGCTGAAAGGCTCAGAAGGCACTTGTGGGGGCCTCTTGGTAACAGTGTTCGCTCAACAACCAGCAAGCCAGGAATGGATGGCAGAACCATTCTTGACAAACCAACGAACTGTTCCCAGCTGAACAGCAGTGACAAGCAGTGTAGTTGTTGGTGGCAGAAAAGAAACTGAACATCTGATGTCAGTGTGCAGCAAATTCAGTAACACTTACAGTGCTATCTAACGTGAACATTGCACATTGGCTAGCACTGCATGTGTCAGAGCTGTTAAATAGTCAGTCAAGAAATCCCATGGGCCACAGCTGACATGACAGAATTCGAAGCACCAATCACCTTCACTTTTGCCTGATCGACGTCCCAGACGATCATGATGTGCTCCACAGATGCAGAGGCCAAAGCAGTGGAATCGGAGGACCATGCAATGTCAAAGATGTCATCAAGATGACCCCTAACCAGAAGCCATATCCACTTCAGACATCATCCATCAATGTTCCAGTCATGCATCAGATTTACAAGTACTCCAACACGAAATGTGACCTGTATACTGGAAGACATGCAGGGAAAGCTCCTGCAAATACTGGAATACTTGCACCACATTCTAATCTCCCCTCAGGCCTCTTGCCATTCTCTGTGACAGAAAAGGGAACGGATTTGCACCTCAACACAGCAGAAGGCTTCCACAGTTTGCTTTTCCTGCTGTCATCGTGGTTGTCTTTGGCAGTTGCTTTCCAGATCAGGAGCTCCCCCTTATCACCCGCAGAAGCAAGCTTTTCGCCTGCATTGAGAAATGCAAAGCCAAGTCAGCCCACTTTGAGACTATCATGGAATCTGAAGAAAATAAGGAGGCAACGATGAATGGCCTCAAGGCCATTTTCCTGCACACTCAACGAGCAGACAGCTCGTGAGCTCCCAACAGCACAAGGTTGCCCCTCTGGCAAAGGCCTGGCGTGGAAGATTGCATGTTCTCAGTACGCTCAAAGCCCGGCGACAGGACAAGTGCTTGCGAGGAACAAGGACAGAGCGCAAAAGAACCCTCACCATTTGGTGAGAACCGAACGCAGTTCACGGGGCTTGCGTGCTGGTGCAGCTCCCCCATCAGCTTCACCGCAGGGATGCCATCGGCAGTCTGTTGGACCTGGAATGCCCGCACGCAAAAGTCGGTGTCGCGATATCAGCACACTCCCTTCGCACCACGACCTCAGTACGCGGCACAGCTACGCCACTTTGAGATAACTCGGGTCGCCCCTGGCCAGCGCGGCGTTCTGTGTTGCTCACAGTCGATTGCGTCCAGCTGTACAAAGGTATCAACCACCGGCACAGGAGTTCGCGGACTCAGAGAGAAGGGGTCCCTGGCTGGGAAGCACCTGAAGCGGCCGCTGCGTCAAAAAACGCAACGTCGCACGGTTCACGGACGCCCCTTACCTTCCACAACTGCTGGAGTTGACGCCGGCGAAGGTCCCAACGAAAAGGCACACCAAGGCAGGAAAGTCAGACTTCCGCAATTCACCGTTGCAGCACTTGCAACGTGCGAGCAGAGGGGAAGGTACGATGGCTGCACGCGTCGCACCCTGATGCAGTTGTCCCCCCCTCCCGTAGCAAGGCATCCAAATCGGTGGAAGTCAATGCTGTTAACGGGGCGGCCATCATGCCACGCGACTTGCAGCGTTCCAGCTTTCACCATGGCTCACGGGGCTTCAGAAGAAACGCAGCCGTTGTGAACGCACGGAAGGGCTGCACACGCAGGTGGTATGGAGGAAGGGGGACGGTGGCCGCAACGATTGCCAGATTGTAGATTCTGGCACGGGAAACCCCGGCACGAGTGCTGACAGGACACTTGGTTCTGTACTTCTTTGCCTTGAAACGTGTGTGGACGTTTCAAACGAACGTCAAAAGGTTACTATTTTTTTTGCGACAGTGAAATTGTTTTTTTTGCGACAGAGCTGCTCGTTATTGCCACAACGTTGTTCGTTTCTGCGACAATGCCTGAAGTGTTCTCTTCTGCAACTGTGGCCCTGTTGTTCTTTTTTGCGACAGTGGCACGGTGTAGTGTGTGACCAGCAGGTCGCCGCTTCGCTGCCCCACGGGGCACGCCGACGAGTGAAATGGGGTTTGCTGGCCTTGAGGCTTCCAGAGCCGCAGGCAGCCACAACACGGGAAGCAAGGCAGGCGAACCCACCAATGCACGGCGCAAAAGCAAGGTCAAAACCGATGTGTAGGTGCCGTGGCGAATCACCGGTGGCTCGGCGGGGAATGGGTGTGGCCTACGAAGGCGAAGAGGCCAAAACGGGGGAGGGGGGGGAGGGGGGGGAGGGCGGGCGGGTGGACGGGTGTTGGGTTTCCTGACGGACGGTTCGTCAAAGGGCCAGGGCCGCGGGCCTCTCCAGGAGGAACGGACCGGGGAGGCGTGAGATCGATCCGCGGCTGATCTCCGCCTCTGCGCGGCGAAGCGTGGTGCCTGCTTTGGCTCCTTGCAAGCGCCGACTGCTGCCACTCGTGGGTGCCCCGATTGGCACCCGCGGCTGGCACCAATCGGTGGCCATGAGGGGAAAGAATGGCGGGAGCGGGAGGCGACGGGCGGCCTCCCACTCCCGCCTTTTTGTGGCATCTTTTGCGCTCAACACTTGTGCGCCACGCAGGCCGTGGCTGCCTTTGGCATCCGCCCCTCATTGGCACCGAATAATGCCACTCGTGGGTGCCAATCTAGGCACCCGCGGGTGGCTCCAATCGGTGGCCATGAGGGGCAAAAATGGCGGGTGTGGGAGGCGGCATTCGGCCTCCCACTCCCGCCGTTTTGTTGCATGTTCTGCGCCCAAGCGCTGGACATAAAATAGGCCGTAGTTCCCAGTTTGCAGTCAAGCCTTGTGGGCGCCGATTGCTACCACTCGCAGCTACCGATCAGGGCATCTGCGGGTGGCACTATTCGGTAATGACGAGGAGCATCAGCGTGGGAGTGGGAAACAACTTTCGGCCTTCCACTCCCGCTGTTTTTATGGGGTTTTGCAACACCGCATAATGACCACCGTTTCACTAGGCGGATCACTTATGCATTATGGTATGTGACTTGTATACATGTCAAGAAGATGATTTATATGCAAGACTTTCTGAATCTATAGAAAAAAGGAAAAATGTTTTATGATTCATAGAATTATTGTGGTGATGAGTTGGCATCATTGAAGTGTCGTATGGCTGGTTGTTGATGGATGATGGTCATTGTCATATCAAAAGAAGAGTTCTGTGGGTGCTAGAAAATTCGAATTGTTCGGTTGTGGGGGTTGTTGCCATTGTCAGCAAGGCTCTCCATTGTGGGAAGGGTGAACAAATATGTAAGCCCTAAGCGTTTTTTGTGTGGCGTGGCCTTGTGTCTGGGCGTGTGCCAACACTGTTGAAGCATCGGCGATCGTGGATCCGCGCTTCCCGTGTGCACTCCAAGGGGGCCGTTTGAATCGCATCAAGGGCCATTTCCTTCAACATGGTTTCGGAGCGTCGAAGCAGGTTCTGGGCCAGACGACGGTGGACAAAGTGCAGGCAAGCCCCAAGAGCTGCTTGGGGCAATTTGCACATTGATCGACTCGGAATTCGGTCAGCGATTGGCTAGAGTGTTGGAAGGGTAGAGTTGGAGACTTTGCAATTGAGCGAGATCTATGATTGGTGAAACGCGATTGAAGTCTGCGAGATGGTGGGGTACAGCACAGCAACGTCTCTAGGACAGCTTGAGGCTGTTTGGACAATGATTGACCCGTCGCTCGGCGGCCATCGCCCAATTCGGCGAACGGGCGCAAGTGTTGCACACCCTATTGGGTGCACCCCAGGATCTACCCACGAGGGGCACGCGGAGAGCGAGCGGGGAACTCAATCAGAATGTTACATTGGAAGCGTGAACCACAGTTATAATCAGGTGTTCATTTACTATAAACAACAACTAATCAAATTATAGACACACTACTCCCCTAGTGTATCTAGTAAACCCAAATCTCACCCCACTATTGCAGTACAACAAAATGAAGTGAAATCTCCAGTAAGACTGGATCCACCAGAATTCACAACATCACTTCCCCCCATAAGAAAGTGGCTGTCCCGAGACACGGAGCAAGTGAAGTAAAGAAAAACCCGACGAAACCCATGATATACAAAGGCCAAACAGAAACAAGGCCCCTGGCACCAACGATGTGCTCATGTACGGCCGGTACGGTGGCTCAGTTGCAACCTATAGATCCCAGTCCGGTTCGGCACGCCGAACGCGATTACCCCCAAGACGTAAGACCCCATCACCAATTGTAACCATCCCACCGTATCAACGACCGGCACTCGGAACTCCCCGGTGACACCATCACTTGTTCTGTTTTCCTTTTGTTTTCCAGGACTGCTTTGGCTCAGATGCAGCGACCCGGCGCAGGTAATCCTCTAGGAGGGAGGAAGCATTACGGAGATGCGATTCAGGCTCCCAGGAAGCCTCAATCACCGGATGACCTTTCCAGAGGACCTGATAGAGGCGCCGGGCTCCTGTGCCTTTATGCCTCAGAATTTATGCCTCCACCTCATACTCCTCCTCTCCATCAACCAATATCGGGGGAGGTGGCTTCTCCACCCGTGCGAACCTCTCTGAATGGATATGTCTCCGCAAGTTGGAGACATGGAAGACTGGATGAATCTTCCAACCTGAGGGAAGACGCAACTCGTAAGCCACCGAAGAAATCACTCTAACTACCGGAAAGGGACCGACCCAACGTCGTCTGATTTTTGACGGAAGATACTGGTCGATACTCAGTTTCCGCGTGGCTAGTAATACCTCATCACCAACCTCATAACTCTCATCCCGACGCGACTTATTCACCTGATATTGAGCACGGCGTTGCGCGTGGGCAAGGTTGGCTTGTGCTTCCTCCAGGGCAGTCTTCATCCGTTCCACCATCTGTTGTACAACTTCTACTCGGGAGGTTCCATATCCTTGTAATATCGATGTAGGCAAAATTGGATGATCTCCCGAGTTAAGGAAAAATGGTGAATAACCCGTGGCCACATTTTCAGCGTTGTTCGCGGCAAATTCTGCTAACGGCAATTGCTTCACCCAATGTTGTGGATCTCGTTCAACATACGGTCGTAGGAAGTTTTCCAGCGTTTGTATAGCCCTTTCACTCTGGCCATCCGTCTGAGGATGAAACGCTGTACTGAACCGGAGATCAGTGCCCAGTAGAGGTGGCCACTCAAAGGTGCCATCCGGTCCGTTAAATCCGGTTCGTTAATTGTTATAAGCTGTCCGTTAAATTTCGTTAAAGAAAAAGGGAGAAAAATTCAGAAAAAATGAAAAAAACCAAAAAAAATCGAAAAAAAACCCAAAAAATCACAACAACTGCGGCTAGTTGAAAATCTAGTATGCATAGGTTGAAATAAAATACAAACGTACTCTCTAATAGCGAATTCCATAAACTATAAGTATGACTAAAAGCCAAAAATCCCCAAAAAGTCTAAAAATCCACTAATTTTTGGTTAATTTTTGTCTTTTTTTGTTATTTTCCGTTAATTAACAGAAAATTAACGGAAATTAACCTCTGTCCGCTATTAACGGATCCGGGTGGCCACCTCTAGTGCCCAGTAGGTCAAACAGACCTTTCCAGAATTTACTGGTAAATCTCGGATCTCGGTCAGATATTATAACCTCCGGTAGACTGTGTAGACGGAAGACATGGTCAACAAACAACCGGGCATATTCCATGGCTGTTACTTCTTTTCTGCATAGGGCAAAGTGAACCATTTTGGTGTAACGGTTCACAAATACTGCTATAGCAGTATAGCCGTCCGATTCTGGTAAGTCAGTGACCAGATCGGTTGTCACCTGAGCCCATTTCCTTGATGGAATTTCCAAGGGCTGCAGAAGACCGGCTTTGACCCTGTTATCCGACTTCATCTGCTGACAGGTCGGACAACTCCTGACGTATGAAGTAACATCTCCTCTGAGTCCATGCCAATGGAATTGCCTGTCCACTTGTTCCAACGTCCTGCGTATGCCCACGTGTCTAGCAGTGGGACTATCGTGGCATTCCCTCAATATGTTCTGACACAAGGACGCGGGTACAACGATCTTCACTTGACCATACTTCTTTATCCCGATCAATCTACTGGGTATCAACAAGCAGTCATCCGCTCTTTGACTTTGCCGTAAAGTACTCAACACTGTCCCCAGACGTGGATCTGCCTCATATGCTGTTATCCATCTGTGGCACTCCTCCTGATCCATCTCCATGTGAACTGTCACGGTAAAGAGGGAACCGGTATTCTCTGTCTCGTGTTCCGCCGGTTCCACTATACTCCTCTGACTCCTACTCAGAGCATCAGCGATAATGTTTGCTTTCCCAGGATGGTACTTGATCATGGGATTGATCGACTGGAACAACCCCAATCGCATCCACCTGGTCTGCACCCGGGTAAGCACTAGCTGGTCCATAATGCGGTTTAACGTTTGGTGGTCGGTCAGAATGACCACCCCGCCAGGACAGCCCTCCACATAATGTCACCAGCTCTGTAAGCAGTACGCCATTGCAGCCAATTTGCATTCATGAGCCGAATACCTCTATTCCGTTGGCTTGAGTCGTCTACTCAGAAACGCGACTGGTCTCAAGCCATCTCCCTAATCCTGTAACAATGCACCTCCCGCACCTGTGCCCGAGGCATCGGTGAAAATCGTAT